CATTTATTGAAATGGAAGGAAGACACAATCTTAAGTATAGTTAGAAATATTTGGATTTTATATTAAGGAATATGTCCTAAAATAAGGTGTATAAAATAAAAATCAAAATTTGTAGCCACACTTCAGTTATCACATGTTACACCTTGGAACAGAGCACTGCACTCAATGGATGTTCTTGCTTGTATTCAGTTTTTTTTTCTCTTTAATAAAAATAAATCCTGACTAAACACTTTATGTAAATAAATACAGATCCTGATTTCCCAACCTTCAAATATCAAAAGACAAACAAGGATTGTTCATAAGCAACATGGTTGAAATTCCTTGTCTGTTGGAATTGTCAGTGTTAGATAAGCTCTGAGCTTCTTACCCAATCATCTTATGTTATTTTTCCCATCCAAACTTTCTCTGTCCCACTTTCCATCTGTCCCATAAGTATATCAACATAGTCTGAGGTTCAGTATTTTCCATATTGTAGCCTCTTTCCCACAGGGAACTTTCTCTGTCCCACTTTCCATCTGTCCCATAAGTATATCAACATAGTCTGAGGTTCAGTATTTTCCATATTGTAGCCTCTTTCCCACAGGGAACTGTTCCCAGCTCATTGAATGCTGGGAATCAAGCCTGTTGACAACCCCAGTACTCCACACCACACAGCACCTCAGAAGGTACTGTTTTTCTGGACATTTTAAGCATATTATTTAATGTGATGCTTCTGTGCACAGAGAATTGATACCATTGTTGTCTAACAGAACCTCTCACAGGCCTGTGCACAGTTTATGGTCCATAAAATTGTGGAATAAAAATATCAGCTGGTATCCTCTGCTCTCAATCAATACCTCACCTATTGGAGTGTATCAAATATTATAAGGTGAGAAATGAGTCCAGAGATGGTCAGTTAAGGAGCCATAGCTTACAAACATAGACCATTGTTGTTAAAATCTGTATCTTGCCTATGTGAAACCCAGGGAGATCCCAGAAAGCCATCTGTGCAGCTGCTCTCTAGAAGGCAGCTCGGGCAGTCAAACTGCCCTTCTCTTGTAGACTGTTAGGTCATGAATTCCTCTAAAGTTCCTGTAGCAGGCAAAGGGGACATTGGGGCATCTTACACATGAGTGACTGAGTATTTCAGCCTGACAGCAATACACACTCCTGATCATAAAGCTTTGTAGCTAGAATTATTCATAGTGGTTTTCCTGACTTTAAAGGGATGCCAAAGCATATACCCCCTTGGACTTTCCTTTAGATCCCTCTCCCTTTCTTATAAGGACTCATATTTTTGTGTAACCAGAGATATCACCATAGTCCCATCATTACAAACTGCTCCAAGGACAAAAGATTTATTCCTCAGTACCAGGTTCTGTTGTTGGACTTGAGAGTGACAACCTGTACTCCAAGCCATGTCTGACCACTGTCCTCAAAAAGACAATTAAAGAGCCAAATCAAAAGTGGAAAGCAGAAAAAGGAGATTTATTCAAGGTGGCCATGTTGGGCTGAGGACCAAGATAACCCGTGTTAAGTCTGTGTTCCAAGTTTAGTTAGAAGGCTTACACCTTTAATCCCAGCACTCAGGAGGCAGAGGCAAAGGCAGGCATATCTCTGTGAGTTCGAGACCAGCCTGGTCTACAAGAGCTAGTTCCAGGACAGCCTCCAAAACTACAAAGAAACCCTGTCTCAAAAAACAAAAAACAAACAAAAAGAACTGTGAGATTTCCTGAAAGACAAAAAAAGGACCCTTCCATCTGGTTCCACCTCCTTATTCCACTATAAGATTCCTGGGGAAATATCTTTGGGGGGTCTATTGTCAGACTGAGAGACACAGAGTCCCTTTAGACCATCTTTCTGCCAGGCAGGTTACAACACCAATCTTTTCAAACAGCTTAGGTAAGAAAATGATGTGTGCTACAATTTATTCCAAATATGTCTAGCTTAAAATTCCTTTGAATATCTCAGTTTCTGTGCAAATGTTCCACTTGATCTCCACCTTGAGGTTCTGGATCACTCATCAGGCTGTGTCCTCTCACAAGGACTGGAGAAGGCACCAAATCCTGATCACTCACCTGACTGTTCCTAAGGTTTAGTTCTCAGCAGGTTATTGTATAGAGGCCTCAGTTTCTTGTGGGATGTTGGCTTGAGGCTTCCCTCCATTGTTTCACTAGGAGTTCCCTAAACAGGGTATCAAAATGAGAAAAGAAGAGGAGCAGTGAGTACCAGCAAGATGGGATTCCCAGGGTTTTGTGATTTTATTGGTGAAGATCTAACTCAGCTTCTGTTGTATTTTGTTAGAAGCGAGTCACTACCCTAACCCTCTAAAGTAGAGGAACAGACACAAGATGCTGAATGTCAGGAATTGGGTGACTTTAGGAGTCATGCCAGAAACTGCCTAAGCCAAGTACTACTATAAAATTAGAGTCCACAATGTAGGAGACATAAAGACACAAAGTAAGACTACTTCCTTGGATGGTTCTTAGTAGGCTTTAGAGAAAAGAAGGGACAAGGGGGTGATAAGGAAGTGTCGTTGTTGCATAGGACAGAGCTGTAGTAGGGCTGAACAGAAAGATATTGGTTTTGAAATTAGCACCTCATTCTGCCAGATCTGTCAGAGGTAAAATTTGAGCTGTGTTAGATGGTGGAGGCAGAGTTGTGATTGTAGGAAAAAGATAGACTCAAGGAGACAAAGTATACAGTGTGATTTGGGAATGGGACATAACTTTCTGTTACTGGAGCACTGGGGCTTATGGGAATGGTAGGCAAAAGCAAAGCTGCATTGTGATGGGAGATGTCCTTCTGTATGCTATTAATATATGTTTCTCTTATTGGCTAATGAATAAATGCTGATTGGCCAGTAGCCAGGCAGGAAGTATAGTTGGGGCTATCAGACCAGGAGACCAGGAAGATAGAGAGGAGTCTAGAGAGAGATGCAATGTAGCTACCGGGAAGATAGGATGAGGGGCATTCTGTGGTAAGATAAGGCCATGTAAAAATACATAGATTAATATTTATGGGTTAATAATTAAGAGTGAGCTAGTCAGTAAGAAGCCTAAGCCATCAGCCGATCAGTTTATAATTAATATAAGTCTCTGTGTGTTTATTTGGGACTAAGCTCTCTACAAGGACTAGGTGGAACAGAAAACCCTGTCATTAGCATTATGAAGGAGAATGACTGCATGACATCCTAAGTGATTTTGATTTTAGGAAAAGCATAGAGCCCTATAAATGTTACAGTATGATGTTGCCTACAACTATTAGCCAGTTTTCCTGAACCATATACCATGTAAACTATATCTCTATCATTTGCACAGCTACTTTTTGGAGCAGATTTTACCATCAGCTGTATTTAAACAGAAGCTAGTTTTAGGTCTAAGTTTTGAGGCTAGAAAGCACTGGGCTCTAGAAGCCATCATGGGTCAAGACAGCTGTTCCCCTTTCTCCTTGCCTAGAGGCAAAGCCCCTCCCACATGGGCTTGATAAGTTGTATCTTACTGTCCTCTTCCTCTTCCACATGAAATTCAAGAGATAGGAATTTTAAAAAATCAATTTGTGGGACAATGATCTCTGACATAGCTACATCCTCAGCCTCCTTGTAACTATTTTGAATCAATACCTAAGTGGCCCAGGTTGTGATACTCTCACCTAAGCATCTTGGGGGTCTGGATCCCCAATCTGTAGCACCAGACCAAGTGCATCATATTATTTCATTGCATAAATATGTTACTGCCTGTAGCTAGTAGTGATTTAAAAACACAGTCATCTCATCTTTATTGCACTCAGCACAGTCAACAGCAATTTCTATCAGATATGTCTATAAAACTTTTAGAATCAATCACATACTCTGTATTAAAAAGCCACTGAAAATGGTAGACTTCTGTTTATGAATCTTTTACAAGCACAGTAAAATGTTTTCTACTGACGTTGCAGGCTTGATGTGTACACCATTACATTGTATCCACACAACATCTTTGTATGCAAAATTCATCTGTTCTATATTATTAACTACAGCCTGACATGAAGTATGCTCAAGTACCCTGAATTGCATAGTAGTGTTTCATCCTAGGAATGTAAACCATATCGTTCACGCTATATTAACCACACTGCTAAATTTTACAATTTGACTTCTAAAGAATTCATGGTCCCTTTAACTGTAATGAGTCTTGCATCTTCAAGGTGTGGTGGTCCCAGCATACAGATTTGCCTAGTGTGTATATGTAAAGATACGTAAATCGTGTACCACTACTATGATTATAGGTTTGGCAAAATTGTATCTGGGAGAAAAAGGCTGAGAGGAAAATTTCATTGCAACTAGCAATACTCACGAAGTGACTCATTTTGTTCATACGCATATTTTAAATGTCTATAAAATTTAAAAAGTTTTTTCTTTTTTCAAAAGACTTCATAATCTAGCCGGGTGGTGGTTGGCAAACACCTTTAATCCCAGCACTCGAAAGGCAGATGCAGGCGGATCTCTGTGAGTTCGAGACCAGCCTGGTCTACAAGAGCTAGTTCCAGGACAGCCACCAAAACCACAGAGAAATCGTCTCGAAAAACCAAAAAAAAAAGGACTGCATAGCCTAGTTGTATCTATTTTGGCGGTGCAGAGAGCTCTTCAGTCGCCATGGTCCACTCTACAGATCTTGGATGTTGTGTTACCACGAAAGGGGGAATGGGTTTGTTTAGCCACTGGCCACACTTCCCCTTAGAAAAACAGGCAGCGAAGAGGGTGCAAGCCATCGCTTAAACAGCATTGGGTCATCTGTGTATTTTCAGCCAGATAATCAGCAGGAAGAACAAGTCGTTGCCTAGGCAAACAGCAGACGGTTGCTTTGGCAACCACCCTTCTGCGGTGCGTAGGAGGCGTGGCCATGGTGGCTGGGCGGGACCTTGCAGGGCGGGCAGATAAGGGGCAACCGGCAGCACTGCAGGCGTGGCTGGGAGCGCGTTTCTGAGGCGGGGTGGGCTCTGCTTAGACCTCTGGGAGGGCGGTTGCTTGTGTGGAGTTACCCAGTCAGTGCTCCCTACCCCACTGAGCCGTGCTACCTCACGGGTGCCACCATGACAGGCAGCTACTGTGTCTCGGTGCTCCTGGCCGCCTGGCTCGCGGCCGCAGCGGCGGAGAGTCTCGAGCAGGCCGCGCCGCCGGTGGAGGAGAGCCGGGTGCAGCCCATGACCGCCTCCAACTGGACGCTAGTGATGGAAGGCGAATGGATGCTGAAATTGTGAGTGTGCCCGCCGTGCTTTCCTGGTCAGACCCGGGCCGCGACGCCCCCTGCCAGCACCTGCCTGCGGTGTCGGGCTGCGGCCTTCGTAGTGAGCATGCGCACATTGCCCCTTGCCGTCAGGCAGCGGGTGAGGAAGCTCAGCCAACAAGCATCCTTACCTAGCCTCTTTCACCATTGCTTTAGCCAAAAGTGTTTTGGAAATGGAGGAGGCAGCTTACCAAAGGGAGGGATCCGGAAGGGAAGAGGAGAACCATATGCGCTTAGAGGTGTATCTGTACTATAAAAGGAGCAGCCATTCAGTGATGCATACCCTTAGGAAAGGTGTGTGTTGTAATAAGCCATTGCAGCACGGGAAGGAAGACTGGTTTGTGTGAAATGCCAATTTCCCTTTTAAAAGACCTTGAAATGTCATTGTGTAGAAAAACAAACACGGGTGACTGAGTTAAAAAAAAAAAAAAAGATATTTAAATCCTGATGCCATTATTTTTAGAGCTAGGACTTTGAGTCAGTATCATAATTGGATTGCGCCAGTGGTATAAAGAGAAGGCCATTAGGAGATAGCCCCCTTTGAGCAACAGAAAGTATGTGGTGGTGGGTAGTGTCTTGTTTGAAGGTTATGGGAAACTGTCAGGACAAGGGAAAGGACTTATGTTGGTTGTAGCATAATATTAATATCAAGGAAGTGATCTCTTGAAAAATGATGTTGACAAGGTTCAGCCATCTGAATAGGCTCCCTAGACTCCATGGACATGAAAGGAAGATGAAAAATGTCTGGAAACATAATTTATGAGACCACATTCCCATAGCCCATGGTCTCAGATAATACAGATTTGTCACTACCATTTGGTAGTTAAGTTTTACGTTGAGGATATAGATACTCCTAAAACTGTTTTTATTTGTTTAAGGCCATATTTTGATATCTTCAATTTAGATTTCAGGCAGATGCATGTGGTGTGGATACCTTCCTGTGAGATTAGGGTAAACTATGCAAATTAAGGAATATAATGTATACTTAATTCCTCACCTATGGAGTTATTAGGCCTCAAAATGAAATGCTCCTGCTAAATCATCAAGTCTGTGAAACTGTTAAGGCTTTGTAGAAGAATAACCAACCTATTTGGATGGAAGTGAAGTCATGTTCTTTTTGAGAGAAAGTTTTTTTTTTTTTTTTTTCTGTTTTTGATAGGGTCACACTATGTGTTTCTGGCTGGACTGGAACTGGCTATGTAGACCAGAAGTCACAGAGATCATCCTGCCACTGCCTCTGGAGTTAAAGGTGTGAGCTTTGCATTAGCAATGTCAGGTTTGCAGTATTTAAGAACTTTGAGAAACTGCTTTTTGTCAGCTATCTCTATAGCTATTACTATTACCTCAAATGTCCTTATTCAGTTGTTTTTCTAGATGTCAGTTTTCTGGTTAAAGCTGAGAGTGTGTTTGTATGTGAATTGTGAAGACAGCCATTGTAGAAAGGTCTCCTTATATCTAATGCTGTTAACTCCTTAATGGTTCCTTTTTGAACTTTCTTTTTTTTTTTTTTTTTCCTGTGCAAGGAAAATAACTAAGAATAATAATGCTGAGATGATCAAAAATCCCAATAGGCTTCTAATTCAGTGCTGGCTAACAACTCCTGTTTGGCTCTTGTGGGTGGTTTATATTCTACTCTTTACAAATGCCCCAGCCTAGATAGTTAAGATCCATTCCTGGAACCTGCCACGTGCCTAGCTTCGTGGTGCTTACATTTTTTTTTTTTTTTTTAATTGAGACGCTATTTTTTTTTTTTTTTAAAAAAAAGAACTTCTGAATAGTTGGACATGAAATGAGGATGGAAAGGGAGGAACTTATGTTATTACATCCAGTTTTTTTTTTTTGTTGTTTTTTTTTTTTTTTTTTTGTTTTTTTTCTGGATTCCAGAAACAGGTTCAGAAGTACTGTAACTCCTATCATTTTTAAAAATCAGTTTTCTTGTGTTCCTGGATCACATTCCTGATTCTTCTTTAAAAAACTCCAACCCAAAAATATAAAATGTTTCTATTCTCAGAACCAGTATAGGCCTACTATAAATACGTTTTTGAGAGTCCTTTCAAAATAGCACACACACATCCCCATGCATATAAGAAGGATGCCACACAAGCATGGAATCCCATTTCATAACCCTGACACCTATGTAAAAGCTAGACACAGCTAGGATCACATGTCTGTGATCCTGGCACTGGGGAGGTGGAGGTGGGAGAATTCCTGGTGCTTGTTGGTGTGCTATCTAGTAAATAGATGAGCTGTAGGTTTAGTGAGAGACCCTGTCTCAAAAATAAGGTCGAGAGAAATTGAGGAAGATACCCAGTGTTGACATTTGACCTACATACACGTTCACAGACATGTGCATATATGCACAACCACATGAAAACATGCATACTCATATCAACATCCATGCAGTATACATGTTCATATGAACTCCCCAGTCAGTGCTTTATCAGCTGGTCTGCTCTTATAACTGGAGATTATTAGGCATCTGCAGATAAAATGTATTGGTTTCTGTAAAGAAGTTTGTCAGAAAACTTGGTGATCACATGGGTAGAATTTATCATTTTAAATGATAGTTCTTCATTTATTCATATGCTACCTTTCTCTAGAAATCTGCTTGTGTATCTCTAGTCATACTCCTACCATTCTCTTGTAACACAATTCATGCATATTGCTGGTATTAATCTTTTTCTCTTAAACCCTAGTAGTGGTTGGTACTTTATGACATGAAAATCCATTGCAAAATTTCATTAGTTTTATTTTCCATGATTTCTAAGGAGTCAATATTTGTGGTCCTTGGAATTGAATTCCAGTTTTAAAAGTTATTCTGTTTGAGAAATACCAGTTAAAATGAATGTATGATAATTCATGTTTTTTTAATTTGCAAGGCTTTTACAAAGCTGCAGAATGACTTCATTTCTACTTAAATTTGTTTAACATTATTCATTTGTTGTACACCCTGGCTTTCCTCTCATTTGTTTTCATGTATTCTTTTACAGTGTTTACTCCCCATTTCTTCTCTCTCATTATAAATGCTTGCTGTCCTTATATACCTTCTGATGCTCTCTTTCCTTTATTTCTGTTGGTTTATATCATCTTTTGCTTAATTACTTTCTAACTTTTCTTGAGGTTTTTAACATTTGCCTGGCTCCTGGTGTGTTGCATTTTTTAAACAGTCTTTTTCATTATAATTTATATTTTTATTTAGGAAATTTTTTTATTATTTTTCATACAGTGTATCTTAATTATAGTTTTTCCTTCCTTCCATCTCTTGACAGATTCTTTCCACTCCCCCTACCCATCCAGCTTCATGTTCTCTTTCTCTCTGTCTCTCTATTACAAAAAAATCAACAAAAAGTGAAAAATCAAAACAAACTAAAAAAAGTTGACAACAAAAAATAACTAAATAAAATGAAAGTGCTCAAAAGATAGTCTATTTTGTATAGGACCTATCCTGGAATGTGGTTGATACACTCAGTGACACTTCATTGAGTGAACAGACTTTCCCTTTCCTGGCAGGTATCAACTGCAAATAACTTCTTGGTTAGGGGTGAGTCTTTGTATCCACTTCTCCTTTTCTGTGCTAGGATTTTGTCTAGTTTGGACCTGTGCAGGCCTAATGCACTACTTCTTTGGAGTCATCTATCACCTCTGGCTCATGCAGTCCCCCACTGGATCTCATGGATCCTGACCCTTGAGGGGAGGGGTTTGATAAGACATCCCATTTAGGGCTGAGATTTTCCAAGTCTCTGTTAATTACCACCTCCTGCTAGAAGAAGCTCCTGTGATGAGTTACAAGCAGTGCTCTGTTGTACAGGTATAGCAGTGTGTCATTAGGAGTCATTTTATTGCTGTGTTCATTTAGCATAGTAGGTTTTCCCATAGGGCCCATGACCCATATAGTTGTGGATTCTTGGCCGCTTTAGCAATGTCAGGAATGGGTTCTGTTTCATGGGGGTGGGCCTTAGATCCAATTAAAACGTGGTTAGTTACTTCTATAATGTCTGTTGCACTGTTGCACAAGTATATCTTCTAGGCAGGTTGCTGTTGTAGGTCTCAGGGTTTTTGGCCAGGTATTATTGATGATGACAGTTCTCCAATAGTATGCAAAGTACCTTCCAACACCATGAACACTAGTCAGTGAGGGTGAGGTTTCTAATTGGACAACATCTCAATTTCTCCATGTTTGATGTTATAAATAAATGGTGTTTTCAGAAGCAGGTTGTGGAGGATAACCAATAACCTTGAAAATAGTCTGTGATGTTCGGAAAAATCTTTGGGACCCCTTTGGCCTGTTATTCAACAAGATATAGCCCTTTTCTGGCATTGGAGATTTTACTTTGTGGTGTAAGATGTTTAGTTGGGACATTATCTCCCCCATTATATGATGTCTTTATTTAAATTCCTTTCATGTATATTCTACCATAGTAGATTTCCATGTGGCTTTTCAAAAAGGCCTTTTAGTGTTACCTGTCCCTCCCCATATTCCCTCCTTTACCCTGACCTCCAACCATCTTCCCTGCCAATCCTCTTATTTTAGTTCTGGTGTCAGTTTTGTTCTTTTCAAACCCCAATATGTTCATTCTCTGTACTGTTCTGGTGTGACTTCCCTGCATCTAAGCTGTCTGGACATCATATAGCATAATTTTGATCTGCTTACCTATAATACCTGCTGGTGAGATATATTTTGAGTGAAATTGACTTCTGTAAAGGAAATTGGACTTGCTCATGTCAGACAGAATCTCCTCTAGTTTAGCAGCGTGTTGAGTTTTATCGTTTGAATGTATAAAAGGTAGTCACTAAATGTTGCTTGCCACTTTTTGGGTTCAGGGGTGTGGATCTGGGAAAGTGAAAGTCAATGAAGTACAACCTTGATTTCAAGGGACTTGGCAGTCTGTTGTGCTCTGAAAGAGGTAGTATGAGTAGCAGTCAAGTCTTTAGTAACTACCTAATGAAATACATCATCTTTTGTTAGACATTTGTCAGTGGTCTTAAATAGGACACTTGCCATTTTGGGTTGGGCAGCTCTTTGGTGTAAGGGAATGCTTGATTGACTGGCTCATATTTAGACTTTCCTGATCATATAAGGGAAGGCCCTGTTCCTCAGGGAACTGCAAATGACAGACCTTGTTGCAGGCTCATTTTTGAAACTCCTTACCACTTGAATAAATGTCCTATCTTGCTTACAGGAAATCCCCCTTTAAATACCTTGTGTATCTAGCATGGTTCTAACCACAACTGTTATGTATAAATTTGGTTATTTACCTTTGTATTAGATAGTTTATTTTTCCGCTACAAACTTTATATAAAAGAACAAAATCTTTTTTTCTTCATTGATTAACTCTGGAGCCTTACTATTAAGTAGCAAGTGGTCAATGGCTTTTGACTAAATGAATAAATAAGTAATGCAACTTAATTATTTCTTTTATTGAGCCTTCAATCTCCCATTTGCCCATTTGTTTATTGATATCTTTTTTTTTTTTTTTTTTTTTTTTTTTTTTTGTGCTCAGTCTTGCTGGGTACAAGGGGTGAAGCTATTACAAACATGTTTTCCTGCAGGCTTGGTCCCAAAGCCATGCTAGCCCCAGAGACGCTGTATTATAGAGATGCTGTATTATCTTACCACAGTTTTACCCTATTGGTCCTACATCTTGAAACTTCTCCCTACTACTTCCCGAATCCTCCTTGTCTCCTCGTCCTACCTATCTTGCTTTTCTATTGGCCAACAGTGCTTTATTCATTAACCAATAAGGGAAATATTTACAGAGTGACATCTCCCATCAAGAAGCAGTCATTGTTTTCAGGAGTCATTATGTCTGGGAACATACTGTTCCCTCACTCAAGCAGGTGTTAAGGGTGTAAGGGTTTCTTTCATACAGCTCAATTTTTTATTCTTTGCATGTATGATTAAAGTGTTAGGCAGTTGTCTTTGGCCTTGGTTGTGTCCTATGACTTTAAGGTAAGACTAGGTTGCTGAAGGCACCAATTACTTCAGACAGGGGAGGACTAGGAAGAATAGAGCTGGAACTGATCTACAAGCTTCCTCCCTTAGCAGTAGCTCTTGTATCTGAAGGCGCTATGCAAGCTTCCAGAAGACAAAACCAATCAGTAGTCCTACCCAGCTGTCAAGCTAAGACTACAATGACAGCATGTCAACATAGCTCCGAGGGTACAGTAATAGCACTAATATCTTGGCAGTAACAGCTATTTAATTAGACTAAAGGCCTACTCGGAGGAAGGGATTTATGCCTACTGCTGTCAACCTAGCAATTACCTGTGGTGGGTGACATCATGGATTCTAGAGACTGCCACTCTCCAAAGCAAGTATAATCTCTCACTGCATTAGAAATACTTCCCTCCTGTCCACAGGTAAGTGTAGCACTCACTCCTTATCAAAGAAGCTCCTTTTTGCAGCAGCAGGAGACTGTTACAGAAAGCCACCACTGCTCTAATCACTGAGAACAACTGGTTGTGGGATGCCTGACCTGTAACACAACCCCTATACCTAAGGCTCAGGGATCATCACAGAAAAGGAGGCAGGAGGACTTTAAGAGCCAGAGGACCAGGGCATGTGCTGTGAGGTAGTGTCTTCTATATGTAGTGGGGAAGCCAACCACACTTGTTTGGTGTAGTTATCATTTGTTGACACTGTAATTTAATTTATTTTGTTGGAGAACAGTTTTCCTACTATATCCTATGTCTTTATTGTCACAGGTCCTGCTGAGTGTTTGTTAAAGTAAAATCCTTAGTAAGTTACCTATATCTGTTATCCAGCTGATTTATGGGACAACAAGAAAAACTCAGAAAAGAGAGTGCTGTATAAAATTTAGAACCATGACAGAAAAACATTTGCCTATTTTTTGGTAAATAAAAACATTTCTAGTAAAATTTCTCTTCTGGATTTGTCCTAATGGTTAGTATTTTTCCTAAAATAAGAACTTCTAACTAGTCTTGGGTAACACCCCTACCCATTTTTAAAGTAATGTAAATGATCAAAATGTTTCCTAATTTCATTATTTTATTTTTTTTCTGTTATTCACCAAACTTAGTGCTTTCTTTGTGTTTTAAAGTAGCAATTAATGTTTATACAATAAGTTTTCAAAAGGACTTGTAGCTGAACTTGGTACATGCCTGTAACCTTAGTATTCTGCGAGCTTTGAGGCAGGATGCCTGCTAATTCCAAACCATCCTCGACTACAAGTGAGTTCAAGGCCAATGTAGGCTCTCCTGAGCTGTATATAGCAAGAGGTCTCAACAACACTAAGAGAATATAACTCAGTGACTGTGCATGTGGCTTATGTTTGATCACATACACCCAAAACAGACAAAACAAAACACAAACTTTAGAATTTGACTAGTTTATCACTTTTCCTCCTTGGTTTCCTTTTTTAAAGGCAAGGCATTGTGTACGAACAATTTAATGATACCCAGTCTTTTAAAATGTTTCACTTATTTCCTCAGTATTTTGACTTTATTACTTCTTACGTGTTCAATTTAAACAGACTTACTAAATTACATTTAGTCGGTATTTTTTAATGTGTTCCTGGTGACATTTTTCTTCTTTGAGTATCCTGTTCCGGTTTTTGAAGATCATCATTTTATTGTAGCACTTTTATCTTATATTCATCATTAAACCAAACAAAATGTTTCTCCAGTTTTAGCTGTGTACTTTTGTGACATTATGAAGATGTTAATTTTTCTTTAAGTTATGTCATGTTATTTTCAAGTAGAATTCCAGTGTACGATGGGTTTTGGTTTTTTTTGTTTGTTTGTTTTTGTTCACATATTTTATATGAAGCACTGCCCTGACTCTTCCTCTACAATAGTGGTTCTCAACCTGGAGGGCTTAACCCTCTTACTGAGCTCATGAGCCATAACAGCAAAATTACAGTTAAGGAAATAATTTTACAGTTGGGGAACTGTATTCACTAAAGGGTCATAGTATTAGGAAGATTGACAGACAACCAGTGCTTTAAGACCTGTAAGGCTTATGTTATTGAAGTCCTTCTTTCAAATTTTATCTTGTTTTCAATATGATTTTCTTAGGCTGCTGTAACAGCATATAGGAGCATAGGTGTGTATTTCTATATAGGAGGCTTGATAACTGAAATATATTTTTTCATAGGTCTGGGGGGGGGGTTCAAAGGCTTTCAGGGGCCAAGGTATAGCAGGTTTTCTCTGTGGGAATGTCCCTTCTGTGCTGCTCTTAGTTGCTGGTGTGTGCCTGTTTGTTTCTTATGTCTTTCAGCTGCAGCCCTTACATCTGGAATTGTGTGCATTCTTTCTGTTCTCCATGTCAGAGCTTGCTCTTCTTATAAGAACTGTTCCTAGATGTAGGTCCCATCTTAAATTCGATGATCACTTCCTAAGATCTCTAATGCAGTTATTTGTATAAAGACTTCACTCCAAATTTGCAGGTGCTAGAGCTAGAATTAGAACATGTTTTGGGAAAAATTATTTATTTTACAGCCTTTGCAAGTAGAAAATCACTCTTCCCATTTTGACACCTTCAGATTCAACACTAAGAAAAAAATGTCAGCTTTACAATCTGTGTCATTTGTGTGTGTGTGCGTGTGTGTGTGTGTGTGTTTCTTACAGTATTTTTATTGTTTGTTCATTGTTGATACTGAGTCTGGTTTAGCTTATTCCCTTGAAGATACTGGGTTTCTCATTGAACCTTGAGCTGGGGTTGACCTCTCTAAGCCCTAAGGATCTCCTTGTCTCTCATCTTCGTCCTCACACACCACTACTCTTAGTTCTTTTTCACAGATATTAACCCCAGGTTTGCATGCTTGCACAGCGATGCTCTTTCCCAAGACCTTGCTTTTCTTTAAGGCTGTGTAAAGTGTTTTCACTCTCTTTTTACTGACTCTTCACATATACCATTTCCTTGGTATATTGGAACATATGTTGGCCCTTTCTTAGCTGTTTGTTCTCTTAGGCTTAGTCCAGTTGTTCCTTTCTCTGTGGCCGCATATGAGATGTCACTGCCTGTTTCCAGCTGAAAAATACACGTAAATGCAGAGTTATGGCTTGAAGGCCCAGATATTTTTAACTTTTTCTGTTTAAAAAAAGAAAGTGTTGGGTAGCTCTTATTTTTTTTTTTTTTTTGGAAAAGATATGAAATTTCACAGGTATTTACATAGTAGGAAACATGAGAGGGGACCCAATAGTGACAGGTCTGTGGTCTCTGCCTATCATATCTGTAGCTCTGAGAGGTCTGGAATTGGCTTGGCTGATGTTGGGACATCCTTGAAAATTATTTTACTTTGGTCACTCAGAACTTGTTTGCCTCAGATATCAAATCTACCTGGAAGGGGTAAATAAAACTTGATTCATTTATAAAAAATTACATGGAGGAAATGTCTAGTATGTTAAGATAATTGAAAATATTTTCAATAGAATTAATGTTTGCATGTAAAGTCATAAGGGAAACACAATCTTGGTTTTATCTGTCAAATGACTTTGGGCAGCTTGCTTTTATTCTCCCCTTTAGTTAGGAATTCATTTTCGAATATTCAGTTAATTTTGTTTATAGATTTTACTCCACATATTTTGTGTTGATTAATTCTTTTGATCTTACAGTTATGCCCCATGGTGTCCATCTTGCCAGCAGACTGATTCTGAATGGGAGACTTTTGCCAAGAATGGTGAAACACTCCAGATCAGTGTGGGAAAGGTGGATGTCATTCAAGAACCAGGTACTGTAAATGTGGTCTTTCGTTTGTTTGTTTGGTTTGCTTTGGTTTTTCCAGAGAGGTTCCTCTGTAGCATTGGAGCCTGTCCTGGAACTTGCTTTGTAGACCAGGCTGGCCTCGAACTCGGAGAGATCCGCCTGCCTCTGCCTCCCCAGTGCTGGCATGGTGTAGAGCTGGTCCTATGTCATGCCTGGGTCTAGTGTCCCTGGGCAGCTCTTAATTGAGTCTTTCCCTCACCAGCTACACGGCATGGCAGGCCTCTTTCTTAAGACTTTACAGTCTACTTAATGCTGCCTGTATGTGCAAGAGTGTGAGGCCATTGGCTGTAGTATGGGCAACCTACCAGTGGATACTCTGCAATGAAGAGGGTGTTGTTCTTTTTAAGTTGACAGTTGGGGTAATAGTTAATAGCTATAACTTGTTGAGTACTTCACCATATGTGGGGACTGTTATGTTCTTAACATAATTTAATCCTAGAATAATCATCCAAAGCATTAATATACTCATTTTATAGTTGAGGCAGCTGAAACTCAAAGGGTTGAAGTGATCCAAAGCAATAAAATTAGTAGGGAAAGTTAGTATTAAACTTAGATTTTTTAAAAAAAATTAATTGAATTTATTTATTTTACATCCTAAAAGCTCCTAAAAGCCAGCCAAAGCATTAAGGTCAGTGCCTGCTCCCACTGTTAGAAGTCCTACAAGTAGACCATGGTACACAATTGTCACAAACACCTAGGTTGCTCCTGTGCAGGCTTCCTGGCTTTTGGTACAGACTCTGTGTGTTGCTCTTTCATTACAGTTATAGGAATAAAAACTGGAGAAGGGGGTGGGGTGGGGGTCCTGAGTAAGTGTCCCAGGTGAGTGTCCCAAGGAACGGGACGTGGGAGAGCATAGCAGGTTCCATAGCAGGTGAGGGTGAAAGAGCCAGAGGGAATACAGGCCAGGCAGACAGAGCTTAAATGAGGGGTTTATTTAGAAAGGGGAGTGAGGGGGAAGGGAAGAGACACAGAGGCACCGGGAACAGAAGAGGAGAGAGGGGGAGAGAGAGGCAGGGAGAGAAGAAAAGGGGGTTAGCTGGTAGCCAACTGAAAGCAGGAGAGAAAGAGCAAAAGAGAGTACAAAAGAGAAAGCAAAAAAGAGCGTAAGTGGGCAGGGGTCTGACTTTCAAAGGGGTCCTTTGCACTTGCCTGCAGACTAGTACTCATGGAATCCTGGGTTGACCATACTGCCTGAGTGCATTCTGCCAGGTGACAGGGGCAGGACAGCGTAATGCCTGCCTGAATCCTCACACTGTGAGCACCTATGAGCCCTGTTTGGTTGTTTTTGTGGGTTCCCTTGTGATGTCCTTGACCCCTTTGACTCATACAATCCTTCCTCCTGCTCAGCAGGATTCTCCAAGATCCCCCTAATGTTTGGCTGTGGGTCTCTGCATCTGTTCCCATTAGTTGCTGCATGAAAACTCTCTGATGACAGTTGGGGTAGTCACCAATCCCTGAGCATAGGAAAGTATAGTTAGGCTTCATTATGTTGACACTTTTACCTCCTGTAATTGTGTTTGGTTCTATCCTAGGTCTCTGAGCCATTCAGCCTCTGGGTCCTGGCACTCCATGCATAAATTTAGATCTTAGTGCTTTATAATATATTCTTTTAGCTTGCATAAAATCCCAAGTGTCTTAGTTGAGGGCTTGTTGTTGTTGTGTGGTTTGTCAAGACAGGGTTTCTCCGTATTGCTTTGGAGCCTGTCCTGGAAGTCACTTTGTAGGTCAGGCTGACCTCAAACTCACAGAGATCCACCTGCCTCTGCCTCCTGAGTGCTGGGACTAAAGGCAAGTGTCACCACCACCCGGCTTAGTTGAATTTTTATTGTTGTGAAAGGACACTGTGACCAGAGCAACTCTTATAAAGAAAACATTTAGTTGAAGTGACTGGCTTATAGCTTCAGAGGTTCATTTCATTTTTCATCATGGTGGGGACATGGTAGCATGCAGGCAGGCGTGGTGCTGACTCTAAGAAGCAACAGGAAGTTGAGTGACTGTCACACTGATTGAAGCTTGAGAAAAGAGACCTCAAAGCCTGCACCTACCATGAAACACTTCCTCTAACAAGACCACACCTCCTAATAGTGCCACTCCCTTTGGGGGTCATTTTCTACCACACCAAGTAATAAATAATCCAGAAAATTCTAGGGTAACACCTAGAACATAAGAATGTGGGTGTATCAGTAACTAGAAAGTATTGGGAAGTAAAAGAGACTAAAGTTTTTTTCCTTTAAGTTAGAAGATAATCAATAAATGTAATTCAGTAATTCCAGTGATGTTTGTTCATATGATCATGACAGCACCCAGAGGATGCTTTCCCTCAGCACTTGGTACTTGAGTCACTTAAATTTTAACTATTTTTGTTTATGCTTTTCCAGGTTTGAGTGGCCGCTTCTTTGTTACTACTCTCCCAGCATTTTTTCAGTAAGTAAGCTTTGTTCATGTTACGATCTTATAAAGATTATAATTCAGCACTGCGGGGGAATAGGTCAACGGTGATGAACTGTGCTAATGAGAGGCAAAGGGAAAATGGCAGAAAGATGTTCCATTGTTATAGCACTTGGGGGTCATTCAGGATACAGGCCAAGCAGGTTCATGGAGTCAAGGGAACAGGACTCCCAGCTTCACACAGTAGTGCATTAGGAATGAAGAGAACTCCTGTGACTCCTATTTGGGCTGAGAAGGTGAGAAAAGGAAGGCATAGAGGTGTATTTGGGAGGTGTGTGCTTTGATCTTGATCATCTTGGAGACTCGGAGAATATCGATTTGGAAATGTGGGTACATTATTTGTTAATGTGATAACAGTGAGTAGAAATTTTGCAAGAAGAAATAAAAATTATTGGTTGCAAACATGCTATCAAATGGGTTGGCTGATTAAATATTGCTGGAAATTTAGCTTATAGTTGCAGATTACACAGTGGTGAAAGAGAATATTTAATGCTTTGAGTTTTAGATTTTCCCATTTATGTTAGGTTAGAATTAATAATACATTCCCTCTTGCTTATGTCTGGCTATAGTTGTTTTTCATTTGAGCTAATTTAAAATTCAAGCAGAGTTTACATGTGTAATCAATAGTTATTTTGATTATTATTACATAATACTTATTTTAATTGATCTAATTTCTATTTTATTTTATAACCGATAGTGCAAAAGATGGGATATTCCGCCGTTACCGTGGCCCAGGAATCTATGAAGACTTACAGAATTACATCTTAGAGAAGAAGTGGCAATCAGTTGAGCCTCTAACTGGCTGGAAGTCCCCAGCTTCTCTAACGTAAGTTATCAATAAAGTGTTACCTGTGAAGTAGTAGGTTCATGTTAGTGTGTAGACCTTACAAGTGTAGACTTTTCTTCATATTCCTTTCTCATATCTAGACTGCATATGCCTATGTTTGGTCCACCTTTCTGGTTTTGTGACCCACATGTACTGTAAGTGGCTTTGGTAAAGTGGGGATTGAATGGCTGGATTGGAGGGATGTGTTAACAGAAAACTGCTCCTCCATCTTTTGCAGCATGTTTGCCAACCCTTTCCTCTTTACAAACATGGTACTGAGTTCTGGTTGCCATTAACTGGAAGGACAGATATTTCTTTAATTATAGTCCACTCGGGGATTCTTATATTTTACATTGAAAATATAACAGGTCATGTTTTTGGCTGTTGGCCCTATGTTTTGAGGGTATAGCTTTTGATAATATTTAGTAAGGTAGATAATGCTGAACTGTAATAACTCGTTGCACATTTGGCTTTAATTTTGAATGGTCATATTAGTAAGTAGTTTTATTTTGTACATACAGATGTAAGAAATTTCCTTAATACCACAGAAGCAGTGTAATGTAATATTTCATGTAACACATGCACCTGTGTTAGTGTCTGGGGAATATGGAGCTTATCCTAAAAGTAGCTTATCTCTGACATTTCATTCTTCAAATAGCTGAATACTTATTTTTGTGGTAGATACTGTTCTAGGAGCCAGGTATTTATTACTACATTAGACAAGCTTGCTTTCTCCACTCCCTTTGTTAGGTAACTTAAAGCTAGTATGACAGATTGCAAAACAAACTAGAGAGATCATTTGAATAGAGTTGATAAAAATAACAGTATGTATATTTTTTTATATTAGGCAGGAAAAACTTGGGTCTTGGTCCTGCCTTGAAGGAAGTGTTATGAATGGTTACTTTGAAGGGAAATTGGGGTGGGATTTTCAGGGTAGAAGGATCTGTGGCCCAGATAAGAGAATGGCTAGCAAAACCACAGGATGACTGTACCTTACGCAGAAGCCTGAGTTTGAGAAAGAGCTTTATTGAGTGCTTGGGGAGCAGTATAGTGTCAGGGTGGAACACTGTGAAAGGAAGGAACAGAGCCTAAGTTGAGTCAAAAGTAGGCTGAAGATAGATGGTGCAGGACCTGTGACCACAGTCAGCAAGGGATTTTTTTTTCTTAGTACATGCAAAAAGAAATTGATTCTTATAAGGAGAGGTTGGAAAGGCCAAGAATCCATAAGGAGAGAGCAGTTAGAAGGTTTTCACAATATCCAGCCTAAGAAAAGCAACTTGTACCAGGGTGTTAGTGGTGGAGATGGGAAAAAAAAAATGAGTAGATGTAAAGTTGATTTTGAAGATAGAATTGGTCAACATGAGAAGGAACATTTACAAGAAAAAGATCCCTGGGATTCCTGTTGAATACTTCGTGGACCTTGTCATTTCCTACATCAAGATACTGGTAAAAAAACAAATGAACAAAAATCACCACCAGAACAAAAAACAAAACAAACAAAAGAAAGAGGCCATAAGTTTGAGAGGAAGTAGTAGGGTGCCATTGTATGGGTTAGAGAGAGGGAAGGGAAGGTAGAAGTGATACAATTAGATTTAATTAAAATATTAAAAAGAAGAAACTGTGTGAGATAGCTTAGGGGTATTTAAAATCAAGATCATGGCTTTCAGTCAACATTCTTCTAGCATGGAGGGGAATGGATTCATGAGCCCCACCCTGAACTGAGCTATGATGTTGCTGGATTCCTTTTCTGAAAGTCAGTTTTCCTTAAGGGTATATGACTTCTGGTGAGTCAAACTCACTCCTGTGGATGGCCCCACACACAGAAGTGTATGGCTAGTACAAATGGGATTTGATTGGTTAGTGAAAAAAAGAAAGAAAGGAAGGAAGGAAGGAAGGAAGGAAAGAAGGAAGGAAGAAGACACAAAGCAAGGGAACAAAAGAGAGGTGTGGATGGATCTAGTAAAGTTAGGGGTAAATATGATCAAAATTTATTGTGTGCAGTTCTCAAAGAATTAATTAAACTATTAAAGAGGAAAAAGAAAAAAGATTGTTAGCCTTGTTAGAGGCATAAACTTTGCAAAGCTATGAAGCTGAGTGTGTGTAGATGGTTCCCCATGGTGAGCTAATGAACACAATTGTAGAAAACTTTGACAGAGTTCAAAGCCTTAGAATGAAAGGAACATCTAGGAAATAAAAGAGTAGTGTGCTTGAGATAAATCTATGACTCACCTCAAAGTTAAGAAGTTAAGTACCTATTTGTAAAATAAGGTTTCATAAACTCTATATCAATAGTAATAAATTGAATTTATATTTATTATTTCTAAACTGGAAACTATGAATAAAAAGAGATAAGATGTAAACTATCTTTAACTGTGTGATCCATATCTAATGTGTGCAGGATACTAGGATGTAAACATGAATGCATAGAGATTTATATTTGGAATTTAAAAACAATTATAAAACGCATATACCAAAGCTTTCAGGAGAATTCTGGCATCAAGGAATGACTCTCTTTAGCACCATCAAATGTTTGGCAAATTGCTAATGCTTACCAATTTGGGGAAGATGTGAGAAGGATTTTTTCTACATTTTCCATTTAAATAAGCTTTTACTTGAAAACTATAACTACAACTAAAAAAGAAGTTAGGTACTAAGCAAGTCATTAAAAGAAAAATTGAAGACCAGTGGGATTACACAGGAAGTAAAGATACTTGTCAATAGATTGATGACATGTGTTTGATCTCAGAGTCCCACATAGTGGAAGGAGAGAATTGACTCAAACAAATTTTCCTATGACCACCACATGTAGCCTAACTGTGTATTTACACATACAATAAATGCATGTAATTAAAACTATGAAAGGAAATTGAAAAATTAGTGCCAGCCAGGCAGAAGGAAAAGCAAGGGTGAAACATTTCTTTTAGAAACTAAATAAAAGATGCTAAAGAAAGAAACAGTATTACTTGTGAACCATGATGTCAGGAGACCCAGAAAGATAAACACTGACAAGGACATAGAATATGGCCTTGGCAAATGGTTATGGTGTAGCCAGATTTAAATGGTTTCAGGACCTAGTACTGAAGAAACTGCAAGACAGGACTTCTCTTTAGAGATTTTTTTCTGAAGCTTGAGAGCCATGTGAGGGGAAGAGCTGCCCAGTTCAAAAGATGGAGGTGAGTGTGCCTTTGTGACTTCATGCTAAAGAAACCGACAGGGGAGAGGTAGGATAATTGCTAATGCAGGAAGAAAGGATGGCAGAATCATGTCATCAGCAGGACAAAGGGTTAGGATCCAAGTCAGATCGATAAATTGACCTATTTTAGGTCATGGTCTCAATCAATAGACTGTACTATTGATACAAGTTGATATGGTATACATCAGTCTCAAATTTGGTGGTAGGAAGATTTCACAGTGATGTGCAAGGAGTGTGTGTTAGCTGTCAGTGCTTGTTGAGGGAGGAGGTATAGGACTGAAAGGAAGGCAAAAGCAAATGGGTAATTATAGCGGTTACATCCTGAAAGATAGATTGGACAGCGTTAAGTGTTCACTTTTAGAAGTCACCAGGATATGTTGTCTTTCTACAGATATAATTTGTTCATAGCTGTGATGAAGGGATAAGGAGCAAAGGATTTGGAATGTGTTTGCAGCAGAGTGGTCCAGAAAATGACCATGAAATCTAACGTTTTGGAGAATTGAAGTGAATGGATGAGAGAGAGCAAGGGGTATAGGCTCAGTTAAGGTATGGCCCTGCCATGAGCTTTGCTTGACTTTGACTGTGTGTGACCAGAATTCTTCCTTTCTTTCTTAGGATGTCTGGGATGGCTGGTCTTTTTAGCATCTCTGGCAAGATTTGGGTGAGTACTTTTAAACAATTACTAAATTTGAAGTAGATTTTTTTTTAAAGAATAGAAAATAGCTTTTAAATAATAGGAAAATGAAAATTTACAAGTACTTTTATAATTCTACATTGCTTGAGCCATAAAACTACTCTCATTTTTGGTTCATCATAGTAATATGTGTTTATAGAAAGGTATAATTTGAAGAGGTACCCATAGCAACTGTCTCAGAGTCATAATTTTATTAGGTTGGCGACGAGGTCCGTATAAAAGCAAAAAGGTTTATATGATGTGGTTGTATTTTGTCTCATTATTCCCTTGGAAAGTCTCTTTGTAGATCAAAGATTGTCTAGACAGGCATGAAAGTCATTGTGTGTGTGTGGGAGCAGCAAACTGTAGCTTGAGAGGGGCTTGGTTTTATAAACAAAACTTTCTTTAAGCAGCTGTGCTTATAGCGTCTGCTGTTTCTTGATTAGGTGTCACTGAAGTGATGGAGTTGTATAGCTGTTACAGATACAGAGATCAAGTGCTGTGCCCACTAGTGTATAGCACTTCCTGTTGTCTGTGCTTGTATAGTGACACAGAGTCGCTTCAGTGTTAGAACAGTTATTTAGGCCAAGTGTTTACTTATTTCTTAGTCTTAATATGTCATTAGTTTTTAATATGTCCATTTCTTTCTGTTCTCTGTAGAAGGAGATTAATACCATAGTATACCATAGATTTATCATGTATTGTGTTTGAATTGCTTGCTTCGTGATTCTAAATAACAGTGCTTTAAACTTACTTGTTTTTGAACTAAGGCTAATAATAACAGACTTAATATAAAATTTTGTTGCATCTCGTGTGTGTGTGTGTGTGTGTGTGTGTGATGTAGATGGGGATGTGTCTTCTCATCTTTTCTTCCATTTATTATAATATCCAGAGATGTTCATAGCAATGTATAGTGAGATAATGTACAACCATAAGGTCCCTTTCTTGAAGCCTGCAGGAGGCGGTTAGATTAGATCTTGTAGATAATTCAGAGACAAACTGTAAAAGGAGACAAGAAGCCTTAGCTACCACTGAAGAAACTTTGTTCCTGTTCCCATGCAAGAAAGATATTAAGGGGATTCTGGAATGTGTGTGAAAGGGATTATGGGCTTGTTCCTGATAACTTCTTCTGATAACGCTGAGCTCCAAACCCAAAGACTCTGTCCTCCAGAGCCACTGCAACTTTGATTGAGACCATGCACTACTGGCTGCAACAGTTCAGATGTCTAGAGTTCATGGAGACCTTGATCTGACCACTAAGAAATGACCTTATTTCTTTTATTTAATGATTAATGATTATTTCACTTAGTTCCTTCATGCAAATGTATTTGTAGTAAACAGCAAATTTATATGTAGCAAAATAGTTCTAACTTAGTCATCTGATAAAATACTTAATAGTATATAAAATTCAGGGTAATCAGCTGACATTTCAAAATATTTTCAGTAAAATAGTAATATATTTTTGTGTAATGAAAGCATATAACATTGAGCAAGTACCAGCATTTTGATCTGAGGAAACATGATTAAGCAAACAGAAATGTAAAAATCTAAAGCTAAACTGGATCTCTTGTAATTGACTGCCTATATAGCTTCATATACCACAACTCCAATCTTTCATAAGGGGTTTTAAAACTATTGTGAACTAAAGTAAACAGATGGGATTTTATGTCTGTGGTTGTAAAAACAATTACATTAATTTTAGTCCTTAGTGATTATTTAGTCATTAGTCTTCAGTAAAAATATCCTAAGAAAACTATATTACTGTAGAATTTCTTTTAGAAGTTCAGATAGATCCCTTGAAGAATAAGCTTATACTAGAAACTTGAAGTGAAACTTATCAAAATAAGATAATGCTTTCAAATACTAAGCAGTGTTGGACCCAGAATGCAGTGGTTCAGAGGCAAGAAACTTTTTTGTACTTTAAAAACTCACTTAGAAAATTTCTTAAGTATTTAATCATTTGTTTTGGAGAAAAGGTATATGATACTGCCCAGAAGTACTTAAACTTCACATTATTCATCACAATTTGTTCATTCCAGCCTCACGAGTAAGGTAACGCAGCAGAGCAGGTATTCATAAAGCAAGTTCAAAAAATACATCCATGAGTCAGCCCAGAGACTGAGTGACCTTTAGTGTCCTCTGTCTCTTTGGCATACTTCAAGGCTTAAACCCAGTAATGACAGTGAGTCATCAAGCAAAGCATAAACTGTTCCATACACATTTTTTTTCAACTTAAATTCAGAGCTGAATAATAACTCTTAAAACATAAAGAGTTGGAAAGTGCCTTCCAAACAGCTTTAGGAAGGAAGGGTTTACTTCAGTTCATAGTCCCACTGCAGGGTAGGCTGGCAGCTATGGCTGTAGCCATGATTGTGGGACTTTCCAGCCAGTGACAATTGTGGAGGTGAAGAGAGAAACTGATATAATGGGGTGGGGGATGGTAGGTCTGGGTAGAGGAGGGACTGTGGGGAGGAGCAACCCTGAAGGCCTTGTGAGAAATGCCTTGTGGAAACCTACTCTAGAAGCATCCTAAAATATATGTTCATACATATGGAAAAAGAGTTTAAATGTGTTAGTTACCCTAGAAGAGGGAGACCATACTCTAATATTGAGCCACATTTGAACAAAGAAAAATCCAGTGACCTCCCTTAGAGCTGTTGGCCAGTGGGATCCCATAGACCTGCAGCATACCCGCTATTGCTATCGCTCTTGGTTCCTCTCCAGAATTCGATGATAAGACCCTACTGCTGAAGACACCACAGACTTGAGTCATAAAACATGGAGAATTCATCTCTATTGCCTGGCTTTCATAGTTCTGAAAGGTGATATACATGCCGTTGGAGGAGAAAATTCATCATCAGCCTTACCCAGCTGTATACTATGGGAGCTACAATAGTGACTGTCCTGGTTATATATATCCACTGGTGGAATAGTGTGGCATCTGTTTTGTGGGAATAACCAACAACCTTCTGATTCAATTTAAGGCCTTCTCCTTGAGATGGACCCCCATACCTGGCAGTGTTATTGCGGCCAGGAACTGTGGATAGGTAGGTCATTGGCCCTAGGAGAGAACTTATTGCTATTGTTCTGCTAAATGGGCACAGTATTAAAATGAGTCCTAATAGTTTATTGCTATACCCAGTATTAGTACATCTCTAAACCCTTATGAGAGAAACCTCTTACAGTGGATGGCAATTAACACACAGACCCACAACTTGTGTACAGAGAATAGAAGGTTATGGAGTTCTCAGCCCTAAAAATGGTACATATCTAACATATCCCTCTTGGGGATCATTGAGGAAGAGGGGGGTCAAAAGATGCAAGAGCTAACAGTGATACCTGACCAAAAGGAAACAGTGTTTTCCAGACACAATAGGGAAATTTTCATATGAACAGATAGTAGCTGTGACTTCATACATAGGACTTGGGCAAGCTCAAAGGATGAGAAGGTCCCACATCCAAAATAATTTGGGTAACATATTTTGTTTATTTATTTATTCTTTTTTTTTTTTTTTTTTTAAAGAAAGAATGGTAAAAGAAACCAGGTTGGGTGGTTGGGTAGGTAGGTGAGGGTAGCCCTAAAGGGTATTGAAGGAGAGGTGTTGAATATGCCCCAAAATATATTGTATAAAATTCTCAAAGAATTAGCAAAAATATTAGAGGGGGGAGTATCAGTACTGAGGCCGGGCTCAAGCTTTCAAGGCCACCGTTATGTGACCTACTTTCACCAACCATGCCTCTTCCCTTAACGTTCCTTAAAGTTCTACAGCCACTGAAAACAGTGCCTGTGGGGGACAATTCTTTTTCAAGCCATAATGCTCTGCCTCTGGCCCCATAAGGCAAAAAGCATACAAGCCATACTTTAAAAGTCCTATAGTTACAGTTCAGTGCTGTTCAAAAGCACACAGTCTCTTCTAATACTCAGGACAGTCTCTCACCATGAGCTATAAAGTAAAAATCCAAGTACGTGTGTTTAGCATGTGGTAAGACATTCTCTAAGTGGTAAAATGGTGGTATGGCAAAGAAAGATTTGATCAGGGTAAGGCAAATTCAGCAGGACAACCACCACACCTTGCAACTCTAGTTCCTACATCTGGCACTCATGCTGACATTATCTGGGTACCCATGAGCCTAGCGCACACATAGTCTCTCTCTTGGGTTGTTTACTATATACCCACATTTTCTGTGACTAATGACCCAGATTTCTTACATCTTCAACAATCCAGCATCTCCCTGGCCACTTAGCTTTCACCTTCATGGCTTTGCACAATAGCCTGTTAGGGCCTTTTTCAGAGAGCTGACCTCAGCAGCTTTCTGAGACTCTGGCCTCTGTGATCCTTTCATGCTTTTGCATAGTGTATTCCCATAAAACCATCACTATGTGGATTCTGCTGCCAGGCTATTTCAGTGAGAGATGCAGCCTAAGTGGTAAGTTCTTGAATTGTTGGATTGTTCTGGTCATTAACATTTCTTGTTTACTTGTTTACATGCTTCTCATTTATAATAGGCCAGGTTAAAATATTTAATTTCTTAATAGGAATGACTTAGAAATATGAAATTGAAGTAGAAACTTGGACTCATATTTGTGTGTGTGTGTGAGTTGTGGGAAGATCATTCAGTAATTGTTTCTATGGGATGCTAATGGCTAAGTTGGAACCTTTTAATTCTGTGCCTAGTAATTGACTGGATTGTAGTTTGTTATCTGAAACAATATGACTTATCATGAGGAAGTGTGGGCCCAGCAAGTCTACCTCCAAATAGACTTTAACTTGAAATGAACAGTTCATATCTGTAATTCACACATTGTTTAACATTAGGAAAAGTGAGTGTGGAGATATTTTAAATAGTTCATACTTTTAGGCATCACTTTGCTTTACATAAAAACTGATAAGGGCCCCAGGGTTTCACATTTTAATAAATCCTGTTAGGATTAAATCTGAAGGAATAGGTAATGATTTGGCGAAGGATCTTAGAAAACCTTCTGTTATGGAAAAAAGAACTGTCAAAACAATATGACCGGACCTCTATCAAGATCTTGAGCACTAAAGCATATTTCATACTGAATATGATTTTGATAATTACTATGTTTTAATGCTATAAAGTTTGACTTGTTCATTACTAAACACTGAGTATAAACTTGGAGCACATATGTGGAGACAGCTTGTAGATTGGAGTCACAGCTAGAGAATTCTTCACTGTGAGTAAATATTTCATTTCTCTTTTGATTACAGCACCTTCACAACTATTTCACAGTGACTCTTGGAATTCCTGCCTGGTGTTCTTACATCTTTTTCGTCATTGCCACTTTGGTGTTTGGCCTGTTCATGGGTCTGGTAAGATAATGCCAGTCTTTTTTTCTTTTCCTTGAAACGGGATATCATGTAAAATTAAAAGGTGGCTATGCAACCTGGTCTTGTTGCAGAAACATATAGAGATAGCTGACCTGAACAAGGAGGAACTAATGCCCCCCCCCCAGACTGATAGCTGGGAATCTAGCATGGGACCCTGAATATGGGTCTCAGCTAGAAGGACTGAGAAGTCTAAGGGACCTCAGACAGTGGAACCAGGATGTATTCCTGGTGCACAAAAGGACCTTGTGGACATATCCCCCATGGAGGGATACTCCCTTAACCTAGAGACAGGAGAGATATCCTAGTTCCTACTTCAAATGGCTTGACCGATCTCCATGACCCCACCTGGATAGCATAGCCCTACATGTGGAATGGGGGTGAGGGGATGGGAGGGACGGTGGTCAGGTGCTTGTGAGTGGGAAGAGAGGGTAAGAGGAAAGGAGGGAGGAAGGGAGGGAGAAGGAACTGGGATCGACATGTAAAATAAAAAAAATAATTAAAAAAATAAATAAAAGGTGGCTATGAAAGGAAAAACACATAAACACCATTTTGTGTTATTTAAGTAGTTAATTTGCTTGTTGGTTGCAATGGTAATGTGCAGTATAATGGAAAATTCATTAACTACCATCCTCTAGTTTTATGTCTAAAATATTCTGGATTAATGTTGTTGAGAATATACACATTAATCAATGAAAAAAAATGCTGTATTTGAATGGGCAAACATTTTCCAAGACAACCAACTTAGCTGTGATTTCACACAAAGCTCCTTGCTTTGTGTACTATGGTAAAGAAAGAATTTACCTAACAGGTTAGATAAAAGACAGTTTTTTCTTCCTATCCTCTAGCTGAATATCTAATCCTGACCAGATTCTTATACATACTTTTTAGGTCACTGAGGTTGTGCTTTGTTAGATAATATAGATAAAGGAACATAGTTACTACTGTAGAGAGAAAAAAACAAAATCCGAAGTAAATCATTATGTTCTCTTTGGACATGAAAGTTTGTATCTCTGTATACAACTCTTAGGTATTAGTGAAAGTTGCAATAATACATTGACTTGTTTAAGTTGCCTTAAATGTTTTGTGATACTATGATGCTTTGCTGGGGTGCTAAATATTTTAAGTGTTTCACTCTAGATGGGGGTTCTGTCCCACCTGGCTCAACAGAGGCTTATATTAATTATAAACTGGCCAATGGCTTAGACTTCTTAATGGCTAGCTCTCTCTTAATTAGTAACCCATAACTATTAATCTGTGTATTTCTACATGGCCTTATCTTACCGGAGAATGCTCGGAGTCCTATCTTCCTGGTAGCTACATGGCATCTCCCTGGCGGCCCTCTATGCCTCTCCCTAGAATTCTCCTTGTCTGGTAGCCCCCCTTATACTTTCTACCCGGCTACTGGCCAATCAGTGGTTTTTTTCTTCAACCAATATGAGAAACATATACAGCATACAGAAGGACATCCCCCATCATGTCCTCTTTTCTGTCTATATAAAAAGAAAGGTTTTTAACTTTAACATAGTAAAATTACATATAACAAAACAGTTTTTAAACAAGATCTATAGTTAACAATGTTTAGTTCACTAACATTTGGCAAAATTTAAAGAAATAGTCTATCATATAGTCTATCTTGTGTGTTTAAAGTTTTAAATGTAACTTATCTTTTATCATAACTAAGGAAAACCATAACCATAGATACCTGTCTTCAACTCCATCAAAGACCTCAGAAGGATAATATATAAACTCTAGAATTGACAGACATCTAACTGCCTGGATAGTCACCCAAAGTTCTTCTGTAACTTTGGTGTATGAATCTTCAGCCTATAGACCTAGAGTATCTAGCACACTTCTCAGTGAAACAGGAAATTTGAAACTGTTCCACCTGTATTGGTAGTTTGTCAGTCATTTTTCTGTGTCCTGCAGAATGTCTGCCAGACTCTTCCATGAAACAGGAACCCTGAAGGACTGTCCCATCTTGTTTTGGAAAGTTCAGCAGTCACTTTCCTATGGGTCCTGCATACCCAGTTTATACAGCATACAGCCAAAGAGCAGTTTCTTGCCCAAGTGACTAGTCTTGCCATATAAAAGGCAAACTCCATAACAAGTTTCTTTGATGCCCACCTTTCTCTCTGATGCAATTGGTTTTTGCAAGGAGCATTTGTGTCTTGTAATCATGCAAAACCGGAATAAACCATTTTAAATGCCATATTCTGTAGGTGTTTGAGAGGTTTTGAAGAATACCGATCCATTTGAAATACATCTCTGTATATCTAGAAAACCTAACATAAGTTTTGACTGTTATAATATAGTCTGTATTTAATTATGCATTACATTTTAAAAAAAGCTGTATAAATGCAATATCTAAAAAAGAGTAGAAGTATACATATATTTCTTTATATTAAATTTGCAGCAATAAACCAAAATCCATTCCTATGCAAAGTATATATTTCTATATCATATTCCCTTTTTTCTTTAGGAAGAAATTGACTGTGATCATGAACCATTTCTAACCAACCTCGTTTAAATTAAAACAAACATTTATAAACAATATTTGGGATTGTGGGCATAGTTCTTTCCAAACTGCTTTCTGCAGTTGGGGGCTCTGTCAATCCCAAGAGTATCCTGAGAAAACCCAGAAAACTTACCAAATCTTGGCTGGAGTAGTCTGCCCGGCTTAGTCTGAGGCTGCATCGTATCAACTGTTTTGGATATTTGATCACCTGGGCCACTGCTTCAAGGGGTCTTGCTTGATCAAACCATATTCTGGAAGCAATCCACAGCTTTGCTTTCTTTCTTTCTTTTTTCTTTTCTTTCTTTTTTTTTTTTTTTTTTTTTTTTTTTTTTTTGAAACAAAGCAGAATCTCTTTTCCAAAGTAACCTGTCCTTAGACTTAAATTTTAAAGTCAAAGCACTTTTAAAATCTATAGGTAGATTAGTCCAGTAGCATTATGATTAATGTCTTAGCAGCTGTTGCTCCTTCCTCAGCAATCAAACAATTCAAAGACAACACAATAACATACAGTACCCAGACTCTGTGTATTTTTCATTTTTACATGGCGTTTTTGTCATTACTCTATTTCTTTTACTTTTAGGGTTTTTTTTTTGTTTTTTGTTTGTTTGTTTGTTTTTTTGATACAGAGTTTCTCTGTGTAAATATGACTGTCCTGGAATTCACTCTGTGACCATGTTGGCCTTGAAATCACAGTGATCTGACTACCTCTGCCTCTCAAGTGCTGGGATTAAAGGCATTTGCCACCATGCCCAGCTATTCTATTTCTTTTTTTAAGGACTTTATCCTTTTTCTTTTCTTTCCCAAGTCTATGTATATGTTTAAATACACCGTAGACCATTTAGAGGTTTTTCTTTGAATTAGTCTTTTGCTATATATCTCTATCTTTTTCTGACCACATAAGTCTTATCTGCTAAACAGCATGGCTAAAAAAGTGGCAGCTGGACTTGCTCTATTCCTTGGCTTTCTGAGAGTCTAGGCTTCATGATGGAGTTTCTCATTCATGTCACCACCAAGAAGCATGCCATTGGCTGCTCTTGAACACCACTTAATTGTTTGGTAGTGTGTTTTTGTTGTTGTTGTTGTTGTATTTGTTTGTTTTTTCTGCTAATGCTGAGTCAGAAAACCTCTCTTAAGGGAGCCTCACCTCTGCTTTCCTCCAGCAAACAGAGCCCACCTGAGAAAATGCTGCTACCAAGAAGCTGTGCTTGTGTCTGTTTTTTGATTTTAGAATCCCTTTTTAAGCTTTTGTCAGGTTTAAGGTGGAAATTCTTGCCCCATTTGGGAATGCCATTTGTAGACAGGTTCTGTTTTACCTGGTCTCTTCAGTCCCAAGTAACCTACACACAAACTTTTTTTTTTTTAATTGCATTTTAAACTAATTAAGATAATACACTTTTTGAGATGTTTTATAGGTTATTTATTATATAGTTTCTAACTATTTTATGGCAGAAATATTTGATGATTTTTGAAGCCTCTAGATAAAAGAGTAGACTTTTTGTAAGACTATTTATATTTTTAATGAAATTTGGCTCTCTAGCAAGGTCTTTAAAAATACGAAATGTTTGGTAATTGATATTATAGTAAAGTCACAACGTGGTACGAGGCTTGACCTCCTTCATGACTGTTCTTTATCTACATTGTAGCACATCCTTGAGTTTGGCTCCTGATGTTAACTTTAGCAGTGGGTTGGAATATGGGTGCCTATATGAATCATTATTTAGGCCCAAGCTATGTCTTGTTTTATTAATTTTATTGCTAGCTAACATTGCCCACTTGCCATGGTTTAATGGAATTTGACTATACAGAAATAGAATACCGGTTCTGTGCTTCTCCTGCCTTTTGTTTAGTACTAGTTTTTCTTTGTTTTGGTTTGTTTTTGTTTTTTAATCAAGGTGTTTGGAAGTTACATGAGAATGGGCTCTTTTAAGGGTAACAGTATGAGAAAGTTTGTGGGTGAATCAAAGGTGAAGACATGACTAGTATAGGTGGGTATGGGAAACTAGTGAAAACTCTGCTCAACTGAAAGAGTTCTAGAATGTATGCCTATGTTTACAGTTTGTTTGAAATTTATATTGAAATAATATTTAGGAGGGTTATCAAATGCTTGGTTGAAGATAGAATAGACTTGAGTAAAGACTGCTCAAGTGATTGATACACTGTGATTTCTGGATACGAAATTGGGCAGATAACGTCAATAAAATAAACCTATTAATAAATTTCCAAAATATAGCAAACATTTACCTCTTTGTTCATATTGTCTTTTCTATATTTTTAAAGAATATTAAATCTGCCTTTAATAATCATTAATTTGTAATATACTTTTAAGCTAAATCTTTTACTATTATACAATTTGAAATGGTCACATTGTTATTTCACTTTAAATTACTTACTTCAGAATACCATTTTGTTATCTCCTATTGATTATAGAGAAAGTATTTCACAGTTGTCTTTATGTCTTACTTGTATAAAGAATGCTAGTTTGTATAGAACATTAAGATAAAGGAAGATAATTCTAGACAGAGCTCTGATTGGTACAGGGAGCAGCTGCCCATATCCTCCCAGACTCCCTAAGGAATGAGACATATAGCCAGGCTCTGAAGAGATTTTGGGTAGTCTTACAAAATGAATCAAAACTAAGTAGCTGGTTCAGAGACTAAATCTGAGATGGTTTCCTGAACTGGAAAAAGTAGCTGAGTACTCAGAGGAAAGCCTTTGTGCTGCTTTGTTTCACCCCTGGGTGCATGTGCCCGTGGAGGCTCTGTAACTTTGGCCTTTCTGATGGACAGCATCAGACTAAAGGCAAGACCTAGAGCAGTGCAGTTTAGCACTCTGGCACCTCTGTCATTGCCTGGAGCTGAAAACCTAGCCCAGGCTTGCAGCCATATGAAGTTTTATCCTGCTGGCCTCTTCTCTACTGTGAGTCTTCATGGAGTTGAATGGAAATAGCAGAGGAGGGCAGGGCATTTCCCATAAGAAAAGTCATTGCTTCATATAAGCATGGCTGTTATATTTATTATCTTTTCCCAAATTTTAAAAGATAATTAAATGTTGTTCTTGATTGAAGCCTCCTGACAGTTAAACTGTTTTATTATATGCTATTTTTCACATGACTCAGTTTGAGGATCAAGTACATATTTTACAACTTTCTTGTATATGGGCATACCCTGGAGTACTCTTCAACTCAACTGTACTTTCTGAAGGCTTTGGCCAGCTGCTAAGGATCTGTCTAAGGATATCTGGTTATGGGACACATATCTGATGTTGTTGAGGTAGTTGGCAATTTGTCTTGTCTACTCACTGTGAAGTCACTTTGTTCCCTCCAGGTCCTAGTGGTGATTTCAGAATGCTTCTATGTGCCACTTCCAAGAGCTTCATCTGAACGTTCTGGTGAGTCTGAAAAGTTCGCTTGGGTAGAGTTTATAGAGTTTTCTGGTATTCTGTGGCTCTGCATTTGGTTCTAGCATTCAGTCAATCACTGAGCATCCAGTTATATCTATTGAATTCCTTAAAGATGTGTTTATTCTCCATATCAATTTGAATAAAACTTACTTTCCTCTTAAAAATTAGAAAATATTTCATATTGAAGATTGCATTTTTCTCTTGGGCTTACCCCTGTCATTTTTCAGTGGGCAACTTTTATTCTTGAATTGGAAGGAATGATTCCTAGAGAAACTCACATTCCTTGAGTCTGCAACAGCTTGTCACTATCTCAAGTCCTTTAACAACAGCTTGCCCAAATCTGCATTTATTCTCTTTACTTCTGGGCCTAACTGGCTCTCAATTTGATTGCCTTTATTCTTAGTGTTGAATTTTCTCAAGAGTTTAAATAAGGTCATGTCTGTAGCTCTTGAAGTCTTTAAGACTTCATAGATAGCTAGATAATGTGTCCAACCTTCAGCATTATGGTGTAAGAAAGGGAGCCAGTGTGTAAATAGCTGCAGCATTCTCTGGCTTCAAGCCTAGCCCAAGTGATGTTACGTTGCTAAAGTTCATTAACTATCACTATTCCTAACTCATATTTTATCAGGTTCACTTTGTGGTAAGAGGAGGCCTTTCCTTCCTGACTTTGTCCTCAAACTCTTAGGGAGCAGGACTCTCTTTGGTTGCTACAACCAGTGAGTCACTAAGGCTTTTACACTGTATATAATTATAGCACAAACAAGAACTTGTCCTCTGTTTCCAGCTGCTCTGCCATCAATTCAGTGATGCTCCTGTAGGGAGATATTAAATCTCTAGATGGGCTAAGCTTCAACCAGAAAACCTGTTCACATGATACTGGCATTTTGAGGGGAGAAACCTCCCCATTTATCTATCTGTTGGTTAAACAATGAGCTCATTACTAAATCGCCATTCAGAGGGTTTATTTTTTCTTTCTCTCTTCTGTCCATAGAGCAGGACCAGAGGCCAGAGGAGGTACAAGGAGCTGATCAGCTGCAGGATGCAGAGGAAGATAAGGATGACTCAAATGAAGAAGAAAACAAAGACAGTCTTGTGGATGATGAGGAAGAGAAAGAGGACCTCGGCGATGAGGACGAAGCAGAGGAATACGAGGAAGAGGACAACCTGGCAGGCAGCATGGATGAGGAGAGAAGTGACGCTAATGACCACGGAGTACTGCACGAGGGCAGTGTTTCCCCGGGGGACCTTGAGCCTGGTGAAGCTCACTCAGCTGACACACAGGAGTTGGCGGAAGACTCACTGAGGCAGCGGAAGAGTCAGCATGCAGACAAGGGACCATAGGTTTCATGATGCCATTTCTACAAGTACAGGCCAGAAAAATATGTCTGCTTTTCTCTGGTTTGTAGATTAAGCCAAATCCTTAGTTTTTATTTATTGTTTTCCTGAAAGAGTGATGTTCACTCTTAAAAAATGATCTCTCCTCCTGTGGTCACATGGTAGTAAACCTCTGTGTCCTAAAGAGAGTCAGAGACAGCACTCAGCCACCATGGTGTAAGGATCTTTGTGGGAATTTAGATGGAGAACAAGTTGATATACCTGGGGGCCAAAGAGTCAACCAGAGGACCCCTCTCTAGTCCTCCATAGCACCTTTAGAAATGAGGCTGCTGGCCTAAAAATAGTGAGAGCAAAGCCACGTTACTCCTGAGTATCCTTGAAGTACAGGAAGAGTCTTCATTGTTAAGCATTTGTTTTTGTCATGTAAGAAACACTGGGTACCACATCCCCTCCAGACACTCTCTTGGGGCTAGAAATTCTAGAGACCTATCTGTAGATACAACTTCAGAAAAAGAGGAAGGAGAAGAAGGAGAAGCAGCAGCAGCAGCTAGGGAGTCATCTGAGCTCTCTTCGTCTCTGTTGTCTTTCATTTCTTACCTTTAATTTCTGTGACTTCTGCACTGTGGGACTGAGGAATACCACATTTCCTAACTGCTCTTTAGTGAGAGCAGCAGACAGCAGGAGTCTGTCTCCATTACCCTTACTCGATTTAAAGCTATAGGTAATCAATCATGGCTGATGAGGCTAAAACTGCTAAGGATCTCAAAGCACTGCTGTAATCTTTGGCAGTTCAGAAGGTAGTAGGGGTTTCGTGGGACAGTTGTAAACAAACCACAGCTGGTTTTGGTCAGCCTGTAGTACTTCCAGGATCACTTCTTCAAGGGTTCCTTTAGCCATGTTCTTTGTTTTACTGAACTCCAAAGTGCTTTGTCTTGTTAAAGAAGGTTGTTCTGTGAAGCTGACTTCAGGTCTGTGTTGTTTAGTTTCTATCTCAAGGGGTTCTTTACCTCTGGAGCCACTTTAATAATAACTGGAAAGCATGCCTGCTTTTCTTTTAGTGATGTGCTTTAGGTGAAAATTGATGAAAGTCCATATCAAGAGATGAAAGGTGTGATGTTTTTTCCATCTTCCTTAATCCTCTGGAGAACTGTATTGTTACAAATTTCTCCCTACTCAATCTGGTATCAGTATCAAGGGAAACCAGATTCTTTAAAAACATCTCTAATCTCCTCTCCTACCCTTTCATTATCTTTAGAATAAATTTATAAAATTAGATTCTAGATATATGAAAGATGCATATACATAATGAGTTGAGTCAGAATAATGAGTACAGGTTTTTTAAGAAGGGATGTGTATTATACCTCTCTGACTGTTTATATAACCCTTTCTCTGCATTAGCTGCTATCAGGAGGCTCAAAGGTGGTAGGTTCAGAATCTGCCTTCCTGTACTGCATGAGGCTGCTACAAACCTTGCACAAAGGCAAATTTTATTGTGACAATCCATTCTTTATAAATGTTTTTATTTCATCTTTGTAACTTTGTTAGCTGTCAACTCAAGGCTGAGGCCACCACAGAACTGAAGGGAGACCTTTCTGCCCTCCCTTGTTCCTGCCCTCCAACATATCTTGACTTAAAAAGCAGTGGTTCTGTGGTGGCTGTTATCTTCCTGCTAGAGCTGAGATTCAGCTTCTCTTCTACCCATGCGTTTCCTTCCCTTGTAATTAGATGCATGGAGTGCTCAAGGAATAAATTAAGCTCAGAGTAGTGGGCAAGGGAAGGCTCCCTGTCTCTGCTCTATGTAGTACCCCTGCCTCCTCTAAATTGAAGTACTGGGTTTGACTGCGATGTTTGACTAGAGGGAAGGCTTGAAGAATTAATCTGCCTTGACTTTTAGAAATGTTTCAAAAACAGTTTCTAATTGGACTCTGAATAGTACCTAATGTACCATGAGATAATATATTTCCTTTCTTAATAATACATATAATAAATAGGAGGATGGGGAAAAAAGTCAAGAAGAGAGTCCAGTTCAGTAAAATTATATTTATCTATAGGAGTCATTTTTCCTAGCCTTTCCCCTTTTTAACATCCTGGCAAAAATTGGGTTTCTAGTAAATAGTCAATACTATTTACTAGTCTAGTAAATAGTAAGTACTAATTTAATTTCTTTCCATTTGAAGCCTTTAGGTTTATTTTCAATATTTAGTTGATATAAAATTAAAGGAGAAAAGTCAACTGAAAATTAGATCAGTATTTAATATACTTTATTTTTGTGTACATAGCAAACTTAATGCAGAAGTGCATGGAAACATGATTTTATAAAACAAAACTAACCATGCTTCTCCTCCACTGCCATATCTGCTATTTAATTGTAGAATACTATTTTCTGTATGTTATAATTGTGCAAATGAGATAGTGATAGTAGAACAGGAATGTACAGTGCTTTGTGTACAGGTAGTTAGAGTAAGGTGCCTTGTTCTTTATTGGAATACCTGAAAATTCCACTTACCTCTTTTTTAAAATTTCTTTTACTGTTTGCCTCCTTATCTGTGCTGAACCATGCCAGATTGCTTAGACTCTCATGGAGGCAATGCACAGGCAATTTCACTTTCTTGTTGTTGTTATTATTGTGTTTTGAGGATAATCATGAAACAGGTAAGGGGTGGCTCATTCACTTCACAGCCATTGAACTGCATGGCATTCAGTACAATCTCATTTGTACGTAGGATCTGTACCTGTTATCCATAATAACTAGTGCAATAGAAGGTAAACAAGTTTGAGACAGATCAGCTCTGGGCAAGTGAGAAAGGCTCATATTTACTTTTTAGGTCCAGTCCCCTGGCTGATAAGATATTGTCACATGGTTTGAGTGTATGTAAGCTTGAAACATCTGTTGGAGATGATTAAAATGCTCGTTAAGGGGTATCTACCATGTGGTAGTTTGTAAGATGGGAAAAAATACAGTCCAGAGGGAAGTTTTAACGGACCGAAAAGGGTGAATGATATTTCCACATAAAATCCTAAGCCTGAAGTGAGAGAAAGAGGGGAGATTAGTGCTTCTTTGTTGATGTGTACAGGTTTTCTGTGTTCTTTCTTGTAGTGTCCTGCTGCTATTTCTGCCAGTATTGTGATTGACTAGCCTGTCAGATCTGTCAGCTGTTTGCAAAGTGTATGTGTAAGTCTTGTGCCAACAGGGATTCTCCCAGGGTTGTGTCTTTCTTTACCTCATTCTTGGACTTGGTCCTCTTGAGATTGTAGCTTGTCTGACAGCAGCCAAGGTGGAGTCTGATAGAAGCTGCTGGGTCGGTTCTTTGAGCAGCTACCCAAAGCAGGTAGTTCAACTGAGAAACCCTGGACAGCTCCAGCCTAGCACATGGACCTCCGAGGCGTATTTTCTAAAGTGTGTAGATGGTGATTCTGTTCCCATGTGGCTCTGACTTATTTCTTATGTGGTTGAATTAAAATTCAAATAAATTTGTTTCTAGACAGCTTTGTAGAAATGCAATTTTATACTAAAATCTGTTCATTTGTAAGTCAATACATTATAAAATGGTTGTGTTTATTCTTTGTATTAGTTTTGATTATTTATCTCAGTGTATTTATTTTTCTTTGCCTATGTATTCTGTGCTCACAAATAGATGTGTAGCAACTGAAATGAGAAATCATTATATCATTTCAAGTACTACATTGCCTGCATTACAAATGCTCTGATCAGAGAATTGTGTATAACCCTGACCTACATATTGCCATTTGATTGTCAAGTTACATTTGTGTCAAAACCAATTAATGGTAGTGATGACCAAGTGAAACAGAATGTGTACTGCTTTTTCATATAAATATTTTCACACAAAAAGTATTTGTGGAGGCAGTTGAAAATACTACTTTGTTAAGAAAACAATTTCCTTCTGTGTTTTTTCTCTGACTTCATTCTCTTTTCCTACCTGAACTTGGCGAAATCCCTGTCATGCGCTCAAGGTCAATGCCAAAGATATAAGGGCTTCTCAACACATCACAGCTCATTGTACTGTCTGTGGGAGCTCAGTGCACTTGCTGTGGCCAGGGCTGGTGCATTTAGTGAATGACTCTGCTATTCCTCCAAGAAGCTGTACTTCCAAAGTCTCCTAGGACTTACAAAAGATTATCTCAACTTGCCTGTTCTCACCATGGTAGCAATCAAAAAGCACAAAGACATAAATATAAGGAGTATGGTTTTTGTGTCCACCGCCTGGTCTCGTCCCGCCGCCCCGCCAGCCCCAAATAACACACTGAGACTCTGTATTTGATATAATTCGGTTGGCCCATTACTAGTTTCTTATTGGCTAGCTCTGTCTTAATTATTAACCCATTTCTATGTATTTCCATGTGGTTTCACCTACCGGGGAGTGGGGCGGGTGTCTGGTCTCCCCGGTCTCTCCATGCTGACTCCTCCTTACTACTTCCTCTTTCCTCCTTGTCTCCTAGTTCCTCCTATCTTCCTTTCCTATTGGCCAACAGTTCTTTATTCATTAACCAGTATGAGAAATAAATATACATAATGGCATCTCCTATCACATAAAGGCGAGTTGTACACACTCACACACTGGTATAATGGAGATTTGATTTGTCCCTTTTGAAAGATAGTAGTGAGCTGTACAATGGTGCGAGGGGGAATTACTAAGTTTTCCCATTCTCTTTACCAAAGCAAAGTTCAGGTCCCTGTCCCTGTGTAGATGGACCCTGGTGAACACTTTTAATGGACCCCTTGTGTAGATTTTGAACCTGCTTTTCTTTTTTCTTGAGTGAATGATGGCTAAATAGTTTCTTATTCATCTTCCCACAAGTATTTTCTCCAGTTTCAGTGACTTTCATACTCTGTAATTTATAGATCCCATGAGTAAGTTAAGTAGGATTCTGCTTTATCCTACTGATTTAACATGAGTTGCCCCATTGGAAAGTCTTTTTGCCATCAGAATATAGAGTATTTCTAATAAAAATAATCTGAGAATAGTTTGATGAAAATAATTTTTTAGACGTGACTCTCTAAGGTACATTTGGTAAGCAGTGTGGTAGAACAGAAAATTGCAAGATACTACAAAACTTAGCAATGTTGGCTACAGTATGGCTGCTGTTTTTAAGGGCAGACTTGAGCTCAAGAGATTAATGGACTTAAAATATGAGGCAAAGGAGCTGTTGGGTCTGTCTTGTGATGATGAAAAGCTCACTTCCGCTGGAATCCACTGACTACATGGTTTATTGGTTCTCCAGATCATGGGTAAAAGACTTGGCTGAAAACTTCATCTCTATTCTTGGCAAAATAAAAGCTTACCAGCACATGAAGACCAAGAAAGCTTCTCTTTTGGATAGGTCTCTGTGCAGACAAAAGAGTTCCCTAAAAGCATAGGCATGAGCTTGGCTTTAAATAAGTTGGTGTTTAGATTCATTCTAGCTTTACACTTAATACCAAAAAAACTGAACCAAACATTTCTCATGTGAAGGCTGATGGGGCAGGAAGGAAAGGGTGTAGTGGCAGAAGCAATTTTTAAAAATTACTTTTGAAAACATCCTCAACATGGCTTAAAATTCATTGAACTCTGTAATTAAAGTCACATAAGGAAGCTGTTCAACAGACAGCAGATGTAAAGCCCAGGGTCTGAAGCCAGGAGAGTAGGAGAGCCTTTGGGAGGTGGGGCTTGAAGAAGATGGGAGGAGATGTAGGCAGGGGAGACATAATGTGGACACATAGATTGCTAGTTGGGCAGGTGCTGCTGGGCACCCAGGCACACACTTGTACATGTGTGGCACATGTGTAATCCAGCACATAGGCTGTGGGTAGTCTCACAAGCCTCTAGAGACTAGCTGGAAAAGGCAAATGGTGAGGGCATTTGCCCCCACTCTCAAGGGTGTATTTTCTCAAAACAGAAATTACATTCTGCCAGGAATATAACATTTCATCATTGTTTAACTTCAGATCTTGAATGTTCAATGGCAACCATCATTAGGTTATTGTACCCTGAATGTCAGGTGCCAGCCATGTTTTAACTGACTCAGACCAGATACCTATACTAGTACCCATGTTGCCCAAATTCTAATTGCTCCAGACTGCCTTCTGTTCCCTATAGTAGGATTAGATTGGCTAAATCTTTGATATTAAAAAAAACATTTGAAAAAGTTTAAAAACAAAAGGATTGTCTATGAAAGGATAGAATACTACTATAAGGTTCACCTCTATCAAAAGGATTGAAGTTCAGTACGGTTTTTCGCTACGCAAATGAAGCCCACAAAATCCATTCAACTCTTGTGGGGCAATACAAAGGATTTCAACTTAGATGGTACATTTAACTATTTTAATTGTGAGACAGTCTCTGGATCATTTTACATAATATTTGGTATTATGTAATCTAGGCATATGTTAGCAATGAATGAATGTTAGCAATGTACCCCCTTAGGACTCTCCAAGTGCTGACATTGAACACTGAAAAGCAACATATATTATTACACTGGTAGGGAGTAGATGCTTGGAAGCAGCCACTGAGCAGCCTCCTGCTGCTGGATCCCAGTGCCACCCCATCCCAGAGATGCAAACTTCAGCAAGTGATTCATGGTCCATGAGTCTCCTCTTCACTCTGAGGGTAACAGGTGAGAATTTTAACCAACCCCATGAATATAACTCAAGAAGTTGTTCTAAAAGGTAACATGCATATAATGTTTATGTCATCAGTGTTTCTAAGGTACCACTTCAGGACCTACGAGTGATCCTGGGGAAGGATCAGGCATATTGAGAAACAGCAATGGTTTTTAGAGCTTGCCTCTGGAGTCAGCTTGGCTAAGGGTGGCAGAGCTTGTGAAGTCCCAGACTGTCTCAGAAACATCTCACTTTAGGAATGAGGATAAGCTCCAACTAAGCAGACATAGAGGTAGAACTCAACCTTTGCTTTCATCCTAAAATCTGAAATGATGCTAGAAGCAGAAGCAGGTATAAATGCTGCAGGAAATTTACTAGGCACACTTGGGGTCCTAGGTTGAATGTTCGTTCTTTCTAAAATTCTGTTGTGAGATAGTTTGCTATGGTTTATTTAAATCTTGAAGACCCTGTTGTCATATCTGAGTGGATTGCTGCTTTCAAAGGACTGCAGTCTAGCAATCATTCATTTCTACATTACTTCTTTTCTCTCTTAGTTCCCAAAACTATCACTTTCATAAGGCAGTGTGCACCTTCATTCATCTTTTATGCTGTCTCTGGAAATTCTCCTCAGGTGCCTCCAAAGGACAAGTTAATTGTTTCCTTTCCCATTACCACTTTTACTTATACTCATCTTTACTCCTTTTGGAAAGGTTTTCTTCCTACCTCCAGGGTTTCCTTTAACTTAAGGTTTCCACTGTGCAACTGAGCCTTGGAGCTTTAGGTAATTGGAAAACTACAAACAGTGCAACCAGAGTTCTTGATCTGGAGAGGTTGTAGATGTAGAGGCTGTGCATATCAGCATGTATGGAATTGTGCATGTGTGTGACTACTCTTTCCGTTTTCTGCCAGCCAACTTCTCTAGTCAAGTCTATCAACTTCTGGGTACAGCCACCATCATCAAAACTCATTGTTCTCTTCAAAAACAACTGAGGCAGAGAATGGGAAATCTCCCAGAAGGCCAAGCTTTCCTGCCCTTTTTGCTTTCCCACAGTCCACAGCCCTTGAGTCTTAAGAGTCTCCTCCCCAGCAGGGTTGTCTAGGTGCTTGCATCCCTCCAAGTTTGCCAGGCAGCAGTGATTTCCTCATATAGACTCACAGTTGGATACTATGTTGTCCTCTGGTTAGTCTCAGTTTCTGGTTAGTGTCAGTATCCCCTACACACACACACACACACACACACACACACACACACACACACACACACACACACAAGAACAGTATGTTTTCTTTAAAACTAGATAGTCACGAAAGCTGTCTTAAAATTAATATTCAGTTTGCAACTCCATGAGGGGAATTTTTCTTTTTAGAAGCAAATTTATTATACTCTACAAGTATGATTTTTTCAAATTGGAACCGATTGCACTTGAGACTTCATCATTGTTCCACGGGTCTGGCTTTCATACCAAACATGCACTATTGACCTAGGAGAAATTTTAATGTGGGAAACATTGGGTTCCAACATACATCAAAAGGCAGACTTATTGCTAGACTATAACCACATCCAAATTACTGACTTTGTGGTCTAATCTTTCCAGGCAGCCAGCTCCAGAAATATAATTAACTTTATCTCTAGATTGAATACTCTAATGGAGTCTAATTTGTCATTCAGATCAACTTAAGATCCCCATGCATTTATTTTCTACTAGGTACAAGGTGTTATGCTTAAGTTTCTACCTCCTCTCTCATCCTTCATTCTCCTCTCTGTTTCCCTGGATCCTTTTTGCTTGAGTCTTAATCTTTTATCTCCTCCTCCTTTTTCTTCCTCACATCAGCTTTTCTATCTCTCTATATCTCAATGTTTTCTGCTAGATTTCTTTTCATCTTTCATTTTGTTTTGTTCTTTTTTTTTTCTGATCCAACTGCCCTAAAGATGAATAACGAGGTCTGTAGCATACAAGGGAAAAAAAGAAAAGGGAATAAGTGAGTATTCTATAATGGGGAGGAGCTGTCAGGTGACATGTCATTTCACTGTGCAATGATGGAATAATAGATTTCCACTGATGCTGCTATTGCACTGTGCACTGGGTTTTTGCTTACAACTGCCAAACTGCTCATGTTTGTTTGTTGCTCTGTAAGTCTGGATGCTTTAAGTCTATTTTCTTATTTATATATAGGAAATTTTTTCCCTTTCTCTTTCTCTCTCTCTCTGTGGTGTGTGTGTGTGTGTGTGTGTGTGTGTGTGTGTGTGTGTGTGTGTGTGTGAGAGAGAGAGAGAGAGAGAGAGAGAAGGAGAAGAG